GGTATGTGGGGCTATACTCAGTCTCCCTGCACCCACCCACGCCAGTAGCTGAGATCCCCAGCCAGACCTGTCATGGTCTCCACCTTGCCTCTGCCCGCTGGCAGACTTCCTCCCTGCCCTGCGTCCCTGGGAGCCTAACGGGTCTTGTACCAGCTGTGGAATGTCCCCCCAGCTTCATAATAAAATAGCTGGCAGGGGTCCGATTTCCCTGGCAGGGAGGCCACCTGGCACAGGGAGCAGAAGACCACAGGGTGGTGTCCTGGGGGACAGCTCCTTCAATGACCATCCATTCGAGTCTGGTATCTCCAAAGGGTCACTTGAGCCCCAAACCAGGTGACCTCCAAGAAAGAGCTGCCTTTTGTATCTCCCCTTCCCTAGGCCCCTTCCCAGGACCAGGGCTTGCTTGCCACACTCTCCTGCACAGGGCCGGGGAGTAACTGTTCCCAGCTCTGTGGACCAAATGACTGCTGATGCAGCAAGCAACCGCTGTGGACCGACCGTACCTAAGCAGGTGGATGCTCTGTGTTCTTCTAAGTGTCGTGGGCACAGATGGGAATTCCAGGTCGTTGTCACGTGCCACGAAAGATTCTCTTTTTCTTCTGATGACTTCCAACGGTTCAAAAATGTTTGAAGGCCTTCTTTGCTTGCGGACTGGACAAACTTGGCTTGCTGAGCCCTGACCTGAATGGACAGCAGTGTCTCAGAGGGAGGCCGGACAGGTCAACAGTCTAGATAATATTCAGGGAATCGCGCATCCTGATGCCTGCAGGGGAAGGTGCCATGTCCGAGGAAAGGGCCGGGCTTCGGACAGGTGGTCTTTCCTCAAGAGGTTGACGATATTACAGTGAAACTGACTTAAAGAGCGGCAAAGGGGGCTGGAGGGGGGTGTGTTCAGCAACGTAGGCCTGTCCCCCCGTCGTCCCCCCCCACCCGCAATTGAGGTGCCCTGAGACTCCCCAGCTGCTGTGGAGGTTGCAGAGGGAGTGCTCCCTGCACCACTAGGGTTCAGGGACCTGGGATGCTTGCTCTCCTCATCTTCTCTTTGGGCATCAAACCGCTTCACGTTCCCGCTGCCTGCCAGGCCCAAGTCTTCAGTGGGGCGCCCCCAGAGAGTGCCAGGTCAGGTGTTCCAGCCAAGGCCTCTGGCAGAGGCCAGGCCTTTGGAAAGGGCTGGCCTGGGGAGGGGCCCCTACAAACCAGGGCAGCCTCCCAGAATACACCTCTCTCTTCTTTTAAATTTGACTTATTTTCTTCTTGTTGAGATGATCGGACAAGAGGGCTCCAAAGAGATTGCAGAAAGCAATGATCTTTTCTCATGATCTTTTCACTCCATCTTCCCATGAGCTTTCTGAACCCCACAGCTAAGCAGACGCCAACTGGTCAGTTCCTGCACACGTGGCGTGTTCTCAGGAGTGTCTGCGGACATCAGAGGTCAGTACTTATCGCCACTCATCACAGTTCCTCTCCCACCCCCCACACTGGTGATACCCAGCACAACTCTAGGCACAAAGTGCCACTCATTCCCTACCAGCGATGTCTTCACTCCCAGAATGAGAGGCAACAACCCTGGCCTCTTCCTCTTTAGGGATCCCCTCTGTACCCTGGACTCTTGGGAAGCTCTGCCTTTTGGACGTACCTTAGAGCATTCCCCTTGGGCTTCTTTCCCTACCCCCAGGGAAATGACCTCCTTGACCCTCCCAGACCTGCCCACCTGGATGCCCAGACTTAGTGGACCTCTTGAGCTGGTTGTGCTCCAGGAACCAGCTGAAGTGGGTAGGCAGGGGCCTGGACACCCCAACCGTGGGGCCATAGCCTCCCCACTTTGCTCTCTTTCCGGGTACCCTCACCCCCCAGAGGGGGCGCCTATCCTGTTTTGCTTTCTGCACCGCACCTCTCCACCCACTTCCAAAGCCTCCACTCCTTTCATTCTATCAAAGCACACATCTCTATGCAAAACTTCATTATTTAATTGAGTTCTCTTTATCATTCTACCTCCCTCCAGACTTTTTCCTGCCTTAATCTTCATGAATATCTTACAGGGCAGAGACGATCTCCGTTAAATAGATGAACTAACGGACCTCTAGCAAGTGGCAGGGTAAGGAGTCAAGGCCAAACCTTGAATAGACAACAGGTCACATTGTAACAGAACCGCTATATGGTCCAGCCGTCCCAGGGCTAGGGGCATTACGAGAAGAAATGAATACGGGAATGCAGAGAATGTTCTTTGCAGCCCAAGGGTGCATCTCCATCAGAGATGAACAGATAGATGAATATGTAGACGCACATAGGACATTGCTCAGGCACAAAGCAAAGTGAGGTCCTGATGCACGCCACTGCCTGGATGGACCTTGAAGACATCACGCTGACAACACTGGCGGATCTCAATGACATGAATGTGTCAAGTTGCCAAGGGTTCCATTTTCCTCAGACCCACGGTCAGCACCTATGGACGCAGCGGATAAGAAGTCAAAGTCTATTGCATTGGGTTAGCCTGCCTGAAAACTCCACCGCAGTGTAGTTCCAGAGCAAAGCTGGCGTGCCCAGGACCAAGGTGCGCTCTTCAGTCACTTCATAGGCTCGCAAATCTGGACAGGAATAGGGAAGACTTGACAGACCCAGGCCTCTGGATTACGGTGTTTGGTGAAGAATAGTGCCTGTACTATGGGTTGCCAGAAGGATGTCTTGGATCTGTCTTGGAAAAGGCATGGCCAGAACACTCTTTAGAAATGAGGATGGTGTGGTAGTTACAGAATCTCATGTCAACTTGAGGGTATTATGAGGGAAGCAGTGGAGTCTGGCCTATCAATCAATTGGGCCATAGCCAATGATGCCTCTGTGTGGGTGTGGCCTTCTCATGAGGGTTCTGGGAACTTCCTCTCTCTTGATTCTGCCATCAGATACTCTCCCTGTTTCATCGGGAGGAGCCACGTGGAGACCCGTGCCAGCGCTGAGATACTTCCACCACCATTGGACCCACAAGACTTTTCACCCACCGGCCTGTGATCTTCCTGCAGGTGCTGGATGAGTCTGAAGAGCAATTTATGGACCAGTGTCGGACATATGGGCTAATATCGGACATATGGATTTGATCCGGACTGGGTTGGGATGTTTTCTCAGTATACAATTACTCTTCCATATTTGTTTCCCTAGTAAACCCAGCCTGACACAGATGGTGAGACTTTGTCTCATGTACTTTGGACATGTCATCTACCCATCCCTGTAGAAGGATATGATGCTTGGCAAAGCCTCAGGTCATAGGAAAAGTGGGAGACCACCAAGGAGGTGGACGGACACAGTGGCTGCCATCATGGATTCTCACAGCCACGGTGGTGAGGCTGGCGCAGGGCTGGGCAGCGCTTCCTTCTGCGTCCACATGGGGTGGTCATGGTCACATCAGACTGCCTGGACGGCACTCATTAACAACACACAACCATACACAGACCAAACATCTCGAATGGTCATTAGGTGTGGGAGGAACGGGGACAGTTCTTATTTCGGGTGAGTTTATATTAATGGTGGCAGGATAGTTTGAGAAAAGACAGTGAGAAAGGTTGCAGATTAGAACATAATCTACCAGTGAATTGTATGTGCAGAGACCGTTGAATTGGTACAAGTGCTATTGTGTATGTTTTCACCATTCTGAGCCTCTAAGGTAGAGCTTGGCTCATTTTTCAAGGTGAGGGGCATGGGCCCTGAGTCCACAGTCTATTTCCAAAGCGGTGGCTGCATGAATGGGTCAGGAGATACCTGTAAGAGTCCTATGGATGTTCTCTACCACTGCTGCAAGGGACACGCTAGGCTAGACAGGCTGCGCTCCTACCTTCTTGGAGCACAGGGTCTGCTTAGACAGAGACACACATTCTAGCTCTTCACTGCACAGTCTAGTCTAGCAGTCTCTCCTGAAAGATACGAAAGGGTACAGTTCTGTAGGGCTGGGTGCCAACAGTTGTAGGCTCAGAAACATCAAGACCCGTGGGGCTGGTGCTGTCCTGGAAGAGCCCTGCAGAGAGGGCTGCAGGAGCAAAGTCCAGTAGGACAGGGCTTGTTTGGGGCACGGCAGGAGCCCAGAATGACCAGAATTTAAGTGTGTTTGAAAAGCTGACTCAGAAAGTAGGTTGGGGCCAAACCATGGAAGGGGTGAGAGAGAATGAGAAAGATTGGGCTGCACACTAGAGAACAGATTCACCCACAGCTGTCTGTGCAGGCTGGATGTCTTACCAAGGACTCCCCTCACCTCTCTCCACCATCACAATGCAAGTGTTGGGCTAGGAGCCCAGGTTAGATTAGAAAAAGTCGCATCTCTGCACCTTAACTTACTTGGGGTCCAATTCACCGTGCTTTAGCAGTGACCACACGGGACCACAATCAGTTTGTGACCCTCTGTGCTTCCTCTGTTAAGATGAGGACAAATCCAGTGCGGCTGTGGCAGCGGTTTTGTAAGAAGAGGCCAAAGAGCAAAAACCTTATTAACAAGGCAAGTGCGTTTCTGTTCCCTTTTTGGCAGATGAACCAGGGGGGCAGGGGGCTTCTTGGTAATGGGCTGAGAGCCTAAGAGACTGACTTTAACAGCATCTATTAGTACTTGGCAGTTAGGTATTTAGGACAGGGAAGGATGTACGCAGAAAAGGCACAGCAGAGGCAGTCGGACTAGGCGAAAAGGGAGTCCTGGTCTTGTAGAGGTTTTGCGTTGGGCTGGGCCAGGATCCGCATGGTCGGCGGTTCGGAACCACCAACCGCTCCGCGGAAGAAAGAACGGGCGTTCTACTTCCGTAAAGAGAAAGCCCACAGGGCGTCACCGTGGGCGGCACGGGCTCAGGGCAGCGAGACGAGCCGACGAGCGCAAACCCCGCGCGCACAGACGCGGGCAGCCCCGAGCGGCCGGTGGAAGGGGACGGCCCTCGCGCGCCCCGCCCCCGGCGTCCCAAGCCGCCAATCAGCGAGCGGGCGCGTCTCTGACGCGGTCTTCGCGCGACGCCGCGGATCGGCGTCCCCGGAAGCCCGCGTCCCGGCTCCCCGGCCATGGGCAGCCAGGAGGTCCTGGGCCAGGCGGCCCGTCTGGCCTCCTCCGGCCTCCTCACGCAGGTACTCTGTCCCCGGCTGGGCCCCCGCCGGCCGCGCTGCCTGGCCGCCAGCATGCTCTGCGCTGGCATCGATCGCGGGGCGGGGAGGCGCCCAGGGCGCTCTGGGGGCCCGACCTGGGCCAAACTCCGCCCTGAGCCCACTTGGAAGGGGTCAGCGGGAGGTGGCCGCGGCCGCGAGGGGACGTCTGGCCCCCGGATTTGGGAATTGTGTTCTCAGGCCTGGCTAGGAGACTGCAGACAACCCCCTTTCTTGCTGAGCGCTCCCCATATGGCACTAGGAGAAAGAGCCTGTGTTGCTCCAAACCCCTCCCAAAGATCCACGGTGATTCCACTAGTAGGGCCCGTAGCACGGAGGAGAATGCACTTTACGGATTTCCAAGACTAAGTCTGTGTGGCGCAGGCTGTCGCGCCGTTCCCTGCGGGTCGGCGGTTAGGTTAGCAGGTTAGTTAGTAAGCTGCTGCACCACCAAGTCTCCTGATTTCTGCTTAGAGTCTGCTGTTCTTAAGATAAGGGGTTAATTTCGTCCAGATCCCACCCTTGCCTACAAAGCACCTTCCTCAAGCTCTCTTCCACTGAGTTCAGGGAGACAGCAGGACCTGCACCCAACAGGCCTGGTTAGGATTCCGTGCTGTCATGTGCTTGCTGCATGATTGGCCCAGGGCTAGCAAGCTCACCTGCTAGCCTCAGCTCCTAAGTGGGAGACTGGGTATACTAATAGTACCTGGTTCTTAAGGTGCTTGTGGTGGACTGTTAACCACAAGCTTGACTGTTCCAAGCTACCTGCCACTCTGAGGGATTAAGATGGGCCTTTCTACTGTAAAGAAGTACAGTCTTAGAAACTCACAGGGGCAGTTCTACCCTGTCTTGTAGGGTCGCTCTGCGTTGACATCTAGTTAATGGCAGTACATGCCATATTGGTCCAAGTGTAATCTAAAGCTTCAAGCCTGGGAGCTGGTCGTTCTAAGTCCAGCGGCTCTTGCCCCTTCCAAGCCTTCTCACCATAATTCCTCCTGCCCTGGGTCGTAGAGAGCTGCAGCATGGGCCTTTTCAGTAGCGAAATGCCTGCCTTGGGGAGTCACTTAATTTCTCTGAGCATCCTTTCCCTCAGCTTAATGCAGAGCTGTAATCCAACCTTACAGGGTCACTGGAAGACCAGATGCAATTGTGTGTGTTAGTGACTGCCACGTTGTTGATGTGCTCTGTCCAGCCAATGCTGACTCAGAGCGATCCTCGGTGATAGAGTGGAACTGCCCCATGGGGTTACAGGAGCAAACCACCAGGCCTGTTTTCTTCTGGACCTACTGGAGGCTACGACTATTGACCTTTCAGTTAGCAGGAAAGTGCTTGGTCATTCATTGTGCCACCATGAGGTCTTCCTGGGTCAAGTACTTAATACTCCGTGTTGTCCTTAGTTGTTCTCAAGCTGGTTCCGCCTCATGGTGACCTGTGTGTGCAGAGAGAACTGTACTGTATAGTATTTCCAAGGCTGTGGTTGTGTGTGTAGAGTGAACTGTACTTTAGCGTTTCCAAGGCTGTGGTTGCCCCGCCTGTCTTTGGCGGTGCCTCTGCATGGATTTGTACCACCAACCTTTGAGTTAGTAAACCAGGCCTTAGACGCTTGTGCCACCCAGGGACTTAATAACAGCTGTCGTTAGGGCAGCAATGCTGTTTAAATTGTCAGTGTAGGGATGGAAGTGTGTGCCTACCATTCACAGTTGCTTAATTGTCAGCGGCCACCAAGCGGACTCTGCCTGGAGGTGAGACCCCAGCAGCCTCGCACATAGTACACTGGTGCATTGCTCCCTGCCCCAGTGCTATCCTCAACTGGCAGCATGTTCATGTCTGTCCTTGTGGCTCCTGTGCCAGTTCACCTCGTCGAGGGCCTCCTCCAGCCTCACCAACGAAGGTGTCTGCCTCTAGCAACTGCTCCCTCGTCGCGTGTCCAGGGCAATTGAACCGGACAGTGCTCTGTTCTGCCCCACAGGGTTTTCACTGGCCAGTCTTTGGAACTGGATCCCCGACTCTGTGCTTTCTCTAACTCAGCCTGGCAGCTCTGCTGAAACCTGTCCGTCACAGGTGACACCGCTAGTGTTTGAGATGCTGGGACGTAGCTGCCAGCAGTCAGCACCTCAAAAACCACCACAGAGTGACTGACCGGCGGCGAGTGTTTGGTGAAGTTAAAGGCCCCTGGGGCACCATGGGTTACGTACTGGGATGCTAGCAATAAAGGCTGCCAGTTCAAACCCATCAGCCCCCCTGTGGGAGAAAGAGGAGGCTGTCTGCTCAGGAAAAGATGTGCCATCTCGGAAACCCTGGGAACAGTTCGAGAGGGTCACTGTGAATCAGAATTGACTCCATGACTTTGGCTCTGGGTTTCGAAATGTTGCCTAGTCTCTCCTGATGCGTATTCACATCGAACATAGAGGCTACGGCGCTCTTTCTTTCCTGTTTCATAACATAAATAACTTTGAGGTTCAGTTCTTTTTCCAGGGTGCTGACTGGTCAGACTTTGGGGATACCTTGCTCCCAGGGTGGTTCTGTAAAAGCAAGTAGAGACGGCTCCAGGGAAAAGCCCTCTGGAGTAGGGATCAGGTGGTCTCCCCAGGAGGGAAATAGATAACAAACAGAGCTGAACCACAGGGTGGCTAACTAGGAAAACAGAACCAAACAAATGCTTTTATGAAACACTGTCGAGCCCTTTACAGACGTGCACGAGGGCTGTGTTGCTTCTAAGTACTCTGTCTGGAGCCACCCCTGGGCATCGAGAATGATCTCTGAGTGTCATCAGCCCAAACCTTCACTCAAACCAGCGAGGAGACAGGGGCGGAGTCTGGAGCCTTGTTCCTTAGGCGGGGAGTGGGGATTGGAGGGGGGGGGTGCCTCCGTCCGTCCCTCAGTAAATGAGGGAGACTTCCAGGTGGCTCACCCTGTCCCCCCTCCAGGGTTGGGTTCTCCGACTGCTGCCCAGGGGTACAGCGAGACCCCAGCACGGACACTCCAGGAGAAATGGAGACAGCTGAGTTTCTGGCGGCCTCATGCCCTGCTCGCTCCACCTCGCTCCATCTGTCCTTTTCGTAGGTGTTGTTTCGTGGTATCACCTTTGTCCTGAATGCGTTTATACTTCGCTTCCTGTCGAAGGAGATCGTTGGCATCGTGAATGTGAGGTGAGAGGGCTGGGCCCTGGCGCTGCCCACGACCCACCTCCCGGCCGATCTGGCGTCCCCCACGCTGGCCCTGCTGCCTGCCCTGGATGGCAGCGCAGGCCCTCTCGCAGAAGCGCGGGGTGTTTTTTTCCTGCCCCATGGAGTGTTTTCCATTAGCAGCCTCCCACGGACAGCACATTTCTCTGCCTGCCCTTCCGCTTTGCCCGATCTTAAAGCCCAGGAGACGAGTGGGAGTAATTGACTGCTCCCATCTCAGCAGCCCTGCATCCATGTCCCGCTGTCAGCTCACGAGGCTGTGCTGCGTCTTCGTAGCTGGAACATAGAGAGACACAGACACACCTGGGCTCTGGCTCCAGGCGCCCGCGTGGGAGCAGGGCTGTGCTGTGAATTCCTTGGCAGCTCCTGGATCGCAGACCCCTTTGTCTTTTAGACTCGGCTGGTCTTCTCTCCCCGCCACCCTCTGTTCAAGAACACCCCACCCCCTCACGGCTGTGTTCAGAAATGCGATGTGAAGTGGGTGCTCAGAATAGCCCGCTGCTCAGGTGTGCACTTCTAGTCCCGAGAGACAGGACATCTGTCTGTTCTGAGACGTTCACGCCCAGAGCTCCTGGCTCTGTGCCAGGCGAGGTGGGCCCGGGGATCCCGAGGGGCCCAGGAGAGGCTTGGGCCCTGCATTTTGACAAACTACTCAGGCGATTTTGAAACAGTAACCCAGCGTATTTTGAGAGATGGTGTTTTAAAAGCAGGGCTAAGGAGGCCCGGGTCCTCTGTGGAGCTCAGATTTTATAGCAACTGGGCCTGTCCTCACACAGCCTTCCCCGGAGGACTTGTGGGCCCCCCTCGGCCACTTCGCCTCTATCTGTTGGACAGTAGCACCGTGTGGCAGGCTGACCCCAGAGACCTGGGCCCAGGGCCATTCTCACCAGCGCTGCTGACGCAGGCAAACCTTAGCAGCTCCTTGCCAAGGGCAGGAAGGGCCACCTGGGTGCTGCCCACCTGGGAGGGGCCCAGGGGTTGCAGCCTCTGGAATGGTTGCCAGCCCCACTGCCTGTCCGAGGAGTCTTCTGGTCAGAGACTCAGCTTCTCCCACACGGGTCACCAGTACTGGCGTGGTGGAGCGCCGGGGGCCTCCTCTGCCTTCTCTTCACGATCACAACCACCTCCATCTCCACCTCACACCACAGAATGTACAGATGCAAGCAGGACCAGGGGAGTGCGGCAGCGGTGTCTCACCTGGGCAGCACTTGCTCTGGTTCCGTTGCTCACATGCACATACCCTCACACACACACTCACACACACTCATATACACACACTCATATAAACTCAGTCTTTCTCACACTCACACACGCTCCACGCTCTCCAGTGGCCCTCATTGGTGTGCCTGTGCTTCCCTCTAGGCTCACCCTGCTCTACTCCACCATCAGCTTCCTGGCCCGCGAGGCCTTCCGCAGGGCCTGCCTGAGCGGGAGGAGCCAGCGGGACTGGCCCCAGACCCTGAACCTCCTGTGGCTCACGTGAGTGGTGGGATGAGGTCTCCCTCCCGGGGTCCAGGGGCAGTCAGCAGCACTGCTGGCCTCCAGCTGCAGCACCTCCAAGCCCGTGTGGCAGCGGGTGGGCGTCTGGGCATTGGGTGGGTAGGCGGGGATGGGGCTGTGCTGAAGGCACTGCTTGGTGCCTTCCTCTCTGGGGGGTCAGGAGCAGATGGGGCTCTGGGTTTGGGGTTTCTATCTCCCAGGTGTCTAGCTCTGTTCTACCCTGTGTGCAGGGTGTCTCCACTGTTCCTGACCCCCAGCTTGGGGTCCCACTTGGATACCCCCCAAAGCTATATATTTAATTTTTTTCACAAAGCAACCTTATCACCTTCAAAGTACTCTCCATTACAGTTAATATATTTGTCAGATCTGTGATTCCATTCTGGGAAACATTTTTCTTTTTAAAAAAAATCATTTTATTGGGGCTTATACAGCTCTTATCACAATCCACACATACATCAATTGTGCACAGCACACTTAGACATTCGCTGCCCTCATCATTCTCAAAGCACTTGCTTGGGCTTCTGGAATCAGCTCCTCATTTTTCTTTTTCTTTTCCCCTCCTTCCCTGTTCCCCTTTCCCTCATGAACCCTGGATAATTTATAAGTTATTATTTTGTCATATCTTACACTGCCCGACGTCTCCCTTCACCCACTTTTCTGTTGTCCATCCCCCAGGGAGGAGGTCATATGTAGATCTTTGTAATTGGTTTCCCTGGGAAACATTTTTCAAACTCATCTGTTAGAATGGTTGACAGCACCTCCCTTTTTATTTTCTCCACCTCTTCTTTGTCATCAAATCGCTGTCCTTTCATGTCCCTCTGCATTCACAGAAATAAAAAAGGTTGCAAGGAGCAAGGTCAGGTGAGTGGGGCAAGAGAGGCATGCTGAGTTTTGCTCCAAAACTGGTGCACTAAGATGCTCCGTGAGCAGGTGCATTTTCATGGTAGCAAAACCAGTCCCCGTCTGCCACAAATCAGCCCTTTTTTGCCCCACACTGTTACACAATCTTTTCAGGACCTCTAAATAGAAAGCTTGATTAGTAGTCTGACTTGGTGGTACAAACTCAAAATGCACTACAAGTTGACATTTTCATCCATTCAGGAAGTTGACGGACATCCAGAAGGAGGTTTGTCACCAATCGACATTTCACCTGTTTCGAAACGAGAAAACCACTTGTACACTTGAGTTTTCCCATAGCACTGCCCTTGTAAGCTGTGTTCAACAACACAACAGTTTCTGCAGCATTTTCCCTGAGCAGGAAACAAAATTTCAGAGCCACACGCTATTCTTTTAAATCGGCCATCATAAAACCTGAGGTTCAAGCAAAATTACTTTTACAAAAAAATGCACCGTGACCAGAGAGAACCTTCCCAGGCAAGGCCACTGGGTGCTCTGACTTGGGAGTTGCTTGCTGCTCGCTCGTGGGAAAAGTGAGTGCTACGAAAGCACTGCCCAGCGGCGCCTTTTTCTGTTTGTTTTTTGGGGGTACCCCTTCATATATAGTCTTCATTTTTTCCTCCCGTAGTATCTTCTGAGCTTTCAACAACTGCTTAGTATTTTCGGGAAGCCTCTGGGGGTTTCCTGTGATCTTTGTGGGGTTGACTTCAGTCCTGGGAGGTGGGGAGTGTCCTTGGAGACCCTGTCCAGCAGCTGAGAACAACTGGGAAGGCCCTGCTGGAGCATGACCCGCAGGGAGGGCCGGTGGAGCTCGTTCCCGCTGCTGTGCATGGGCAGCCCGTGCCGCCTCAGGGAGATGGCTGCCGCAGGCAGGGGCTGGTGGCCTTCTTTTATTGGAGCGGTGACTGTCACCACCCCGTCCTGTTTCATTTCACTGTTCTGTGACAAAGGTTGACAGTCACGCTAAAGCGCAGGCACACCATTGTCCCCGGGAGTCAGACTCCCCCAGTGGGACCGGGCCCTATGCCTGCCCTTGACCAGCTGTCTGTGACCTTGGCCCATCAGCCTCCATACCCTCATCTTCCACCTGAGTCAGTGCGAGGAGTTGGGGCCATATGGAGAGGGAGGGAAGCACCTGGCCTGCCGGCACACCTGGCGTTCTCTTCTGGCGGGCGCTTCCTTCGACTCTCAAAGGACAACGTTCTTCCATTCCCTTCTTCCAGAGTCCCTCTGGGTGGGTTCTGGTCGGTGCTCCTGGGCTGGGTCTGGCTCCACTGGCTCGAAGTGCCTGACCCCAGCGCCGTCCCCCACTACGGAACCGGCGTGGTGCTGTTCTCGCTTGCGGCTGTGGTGGAGCTTCTGGGAGAGCCCTTCTGGGTCCTGGCACAAGCACATCTGTTCATCAGGCTCAAGGTCGGTGCGGCTCCCGCTGTCAATGGGGAGGTGCACACCGAGGGAGGAGGCTGCTGCTGCTTGTATCACGTTACAGGAGAGAATGGTTTTCCCAGGCTTCCACGTGAGAAAGCGTTTGAAAAAAGGTCACACGGTCCCTTAGGTCCCTCCCCTTCAACTGGTGGGCCGGGCTGAGTGGACCTCTGCTGTGTGTCAGTGCAGCACTCGCTAGACAGTCAGGATGTGGAAGGAATTCACTTTCCTAGTGATCCTGTGTCGTCGAGCCCGAGCTGGACTGTTCTCTTGGCCTCTGAAGACCCGCTGTCTGACAGCTATACGGGCATGTCTTCACTGCCCCGTGCTGCGGGGCAGAAGCACCCCCGGGGTGGCTTGGGCCTGAAAACACTGCCTCTCTCGCAGTTGTAGTTTGTTCTGAAGTCGATTAAACGCGCAGCAACACGGTAGGTCTTCCAGGCCGGCATCTTACCATAGCGGATGCCGAGCCCGTGTTCAGAACACCTGCTCCAGGATCACATCACTGTCCAGCCCCAGATCGCACCCTTGGCGATCACCCTAGTCTGTCTGCTTGCCACCATGCCCACCGCTTCCCTGAGATCTTAGACATGCTGGGTCAGACAGCTAGACAGGTGAGGGGAGGGTATACTTAGGGTTCACAGAGCTGACTGCCACCTAGGTATTTATAGCCGCCGCAAACAGAGCACACAGGATGCCATCATCAAATACAGGGGGAAGGAGAGATAGGATCATCAGCTTGAGGGCTCGGGTCATCAAAGGCAGGGTCACAATGCTCTATTCCCACTGGTATGTTTCAACTGGGGTCTTAAAAGCTGTGAGCAGGCAGCTAAGGTACAGCTGTTGCTCAAAGAAGCATCAAGAAACCGGAAAGACACAGTCCGCCCCAGGACTAAGGGGCCATGTGAGACTCAGCTTCCCCCTGACCCTGACATTAGACAACCCCCTCCCTCCCCCCACCCCCAGCCTGAAATCAGGAGCCCCGGGTGGAGGGGGAGGAAGATGGAACAACACTGAAGTACAGACGGGACCAGACTTACAGGAGTGGTTGGTCCTCCAGAGGAGGCCTCTTCTCTGGCTCAGTGCCCAGCCAGCGGCAGACAGACTGATGGACGAGCAGGGACACTATGGGAGCGCATGCTTCACTCATAGATCAGCCCGCCGTGCCGTGAGTGCCATGCGCCCAGGAGCCGCAGGCAGGAAGGGCCAGCAAAGAAGGAGGCAGTGGGGTGCGCAGTGTCTCACTGGGCACTGCGGTCAGCGTTCAAACCCCAGCGTCCTGCCCTGACGCAGCGTCGTTAATCTAACAAAGAAGTCCTAGTACCAGATAAAATGACATTGGGGTGGCATGGGTGTGGGGGGAGAGGGGAGGCTTTACATTCCCGGAAAGATGTCCAGTCGGGGAGGCCCCCGGGGCCGTTGTAGCCAGTCCCTGTGAGTTGACTAACTCGCGGTGGTGAGAGGATACCCCACACGGTTTCTCGGGACACAGCTCAGTACCTGCCACACAAGGGACGTGTCAGTCCTGAAGCCTGATCATGTGCAGGAGGGTCACACACCTACCGCCGGCCCAAAAAGAGACCGTTTCCATTAAAAGTGCCCCACCTCCATCCCCACAGCAGGGCCACTGTTCCGCACGCTGTCTCGGCTCTCAGGGGTCAGGAGGCTGCGTCCCATCTGTGACCACGGTTGTAAAGTGAGCCCCGGTGTCCCTGCAGGTGACCGCGGAGAGCCTGGCCGTGATCCTCAAGAGCACCCTGACGGCCTGCCTCGTGCTGTGCTGGCCCCACTGGGGGCTGTCCATTTTCTCCTTGGCCCAGGTGAGAGCCACACTCCCTACGTAAGGCCTGCGTTTTCTCCGCGTGCCCGGCACCCAGTGCACGTGGGGAAGGCTGGAAGCACTGCAGGGCCGCCTTGGGGGGGCTTCTCGGGCTGCCACTCTGTCCTAGCCCCCTCCCCCACTCCCCTGCACTGAGACCCCAGGCTTCCCCGCCTGGGGAGGACTGCACACTTGGCCTCTTGGTTCAAACATGGGAAACTCCTCCCAGGCCCCCTGGACAAACCTGTCCGACTCTACCTCTGATTGAAGGGGAGAAGGTGTTCCGGGCGGTGTGGTGGGAACCCAACCACGTGTGTGATTTTCCCTGCATTTCAATCAGCTGTTTGCAGAATGGGAGGAAACGTCGCCAGGCCCGATTTAAACTTAGATCGAAATCTTCCAGAATTCCCAGGGCTCAAATCAAATCCCAGCAGATAGTTTCTGCTTTAGCCAGCGTTTCCATCGCGTCATGCTAGGTCTATTCAGATCATTTAAAGAAGCCTAGCTGAGGCACCGGCGCTGTTTTTGGAAACAACACGATAAAGCCCAAGGCCAGGCAGTTCGCAGAACATCTTCCAGGGTGTCCACGTTGCTCGTTTTCGCGGATGCACAGGAAGACAGATTAAGACTGTACGACTGGTGTGCAATTCTTCGCCACGCTGTGTGCCCCAAAGAGGGGCCCGATGGAAGCCGAACACCGGGAGCAGGGAGAGCGCCTCCTCATGGCCATGGGGGATGAGTTACACATGTCGGAGAAGTTATCTGGGGTTATTTTTGCCGAATTTGATAGGAGCTGGAGCTGCCGTTACAATTTCCGGCGCACTCCCTCCGCCGAGCAGGGCCACAGAGCCGCCTGGTGACTGGTGGGCCCTTTTTGGGAAAAGCACTTGCCTGGTGACTCTCCACTCACTCTGCACCTGGCAGTCCCTAGGGCCGCGAGGCCAGTTCTGAAACCCTCCGCTCCGTGTCAGAAGGCTCCTGAGAGGTCTCCGGTAAACACACTGTCCCCGTCCTTGTGGGAGCAGCAGGTGAGCCCCACCCTGAGCCCTGGGGGGCCCTTCATCCCTGCTCACACCACGGGGGTCCTGTGTCAAACAAAAGAAAGGGTCCGGCTGGAGTAGTAACGAGTTCTTAAGGCTCAGTGACAGCAAGCCAAACAGTCCAGTTAGACGATGGGCAAGGCCCTGAATGAGTTCCAAGAAGGAACCACAAATGGCCAATCAGTGTATGAAAAGGTGCTTGACATCATTAGTCACTGAAGGACGGGGGGGAAAAACAAACCCCCAAACTCCACACCCAATGCCGGTGAGTTCCCTGTGACCCTAAAGGACAGCATGGTCTGCTCCACAGGGAAGCCCTCTCCCCTCTTGCTGCTGCACATCGCTGGGCAGTTTGAACCACCGGCCTTTCAGTGGGCAGCCCAGGGCTCCCTGGGTCAATGCCAGTGACGTCCGCAGTGAGAGAGCACTTTGTACCCATGGAGGGGCCAGGACTCTGGAGCAGGAGGTGATGCCCTGGGCTGCTCTCCATCAGTACCCATCAGCCACTCCTCGGGAGGAAGACGAGCCGTCGCTCCCATGGAGATGGACAGGCTTGGAGACCGTGGAGCAGTCCTGCTCTGTCCTCGGGGCCGTGCGAGGGGGAATCGCCCCGACGGCCGTGGGTCTGTTTATTTGTGTTGTTATTGTTGAGGACACACAGCAAAGCACACGAACTCAGCGATCACTACCTATGTAATTCAGTGACACTGGCGGGCTGGATTTTATTTCTTTCAAGTGGAAAATAACAGGAGTCGGCCAGGGTATGGAAGCCCTGGGACTCAACGCCCCTTGCTGGTGGGCTTGTGAAAGGACGCTGCTGCTGAGAAATTGGCCAGGTGGTTCATCAGAAGTGAAACAGAATGAGCACCGGGAGCTGGGTGTGCACCCCAGAGAGCTGGAAGTGGGGTCCTGGCAGACATGCATGCAGCCACATTCACTGTGGCACAGTCACTTGTGGTCCAAGTGACACAGCCGAGGGTCTGCCAAGCAGTGAATGGAGAAGCTAAATGGCACGTCTCCGAGGGCAAGAGGGGGGTGGAGTACTAACAGGGGCTGCAACACAGACAGGCCTGAAAACTGCCAGGGTGGAAGGAGCCACCGGTCATGTGCTTTCATTGTCCAGAAGAGGCCAGCCGGAGGGGACAGAGAGCAGTGAGGGAAGGGGAGGGGAGCTGACTGCAGGTGGTACCGGCTCCCTTCTGGATGGTGTTGGAGTGCTGGACCTGGACAGTGGTTAGTTAGGGCCATGCAGCACTGGGAATGCACAAAAGACCTCTGAATTGTGTATTTTACGTTAAACGAAATATTCTTCAATTGAAAAGGGGTGGGGGGAACTCATGTAGCTAGAACACTGTATGAAGATTAGTTTTTACCCTCTTCAGAGCCAGCAAGAAGAGGGAGGGAGGTGGGGAAGGGGGCTGGAGAAAGGGGCCCGTGCCCCAGAGGGTGTTGGCCTTTGGGTGTGTCTTCAGGGGTGGAGGCCCGAGAGGAGGGTGGCGGGTGGTGGGCGCTGTCCTCGGGCATGGACGCAAGTGGAGACGGGTTCCTCGCGGGACAAGTGCAGGGTCTAGAGGCCCTCTTGTGCGGGGAGGAGGAGAGAAGGGAACTTGTGAAGGGTTTTTAGGGATGCTGGAGCCCAGGCTGTAACGGCCAGGCCCAGGGGAATGAGGTTTTCTGCTCCCCTGAAGAGTTCGTCTTGGAAAAGCACAGGGGCAGTTCTGTCTTGCCCTGTAGGGTCACTGAGTCAGAGTTGACTAGATGGCAGTGAGTTGGGCTTTGACTTTGCTTGTTTTGTTGCCCAACTACAAACAAACCAGAGCAGCTGCTCCTGCCAGAAGCCGCCCGCGTCTCCCCTCCCGGAAGGGTGGAGGGAGGGGCAGGCCCTCTTATCAATGTGCCTGTCGAGTGCTGCCCGCCTGGAGCTCCATTCTGCTGTGTAATCAGAATGCCCCAGGTTTCCTGGGTTTCTGGAAACTCCATAGTCAGAGGTGATTATGGAAAGCCCCTGGATGCGAGCATGCTGGGGGCGTATGGGAGCACACATCCTTTGAGCACAGCCTTCATGCTAATGGGCATCTGTCATGGAAACTGAACTCCCGGCCTCCCAGTGAGGTGAGATGTTTGCCCTATTTTCCAGGGGGATGCTGGGATGGCGAGGGGGCCTGGGCCTGCCTCTCTTGATGGACCTGATGGGCAGGCGTACCTGAAGGACACCTGGGTGCAGAGCGGGTTCCGGTAAACCCTGCTTGTCCCTTTCCCCAGCTTTCCTATGCTGTGGCGCTGCTGCTCTGCTACGTCATTTACTTCGCAAAGTTACTGGGCTCCCCGGAATCCGCCCGGCAGCACAACCTTCCGGTCTCCAGCATGATGGACGTGCTACCCAGTCTCACCGGAAGTGGAGTGAGTAATGGCTGTTTGTAATCGCGGTGCCCACAACCCCTTAGGAAAGGAACTGCCTGGCGTGAAGATCCCTGACTCGAGCTCACCCCGAGGGCTGGCTTGCTGTGTCAGAACTACTGACACCTGGGGACAGGCCATTCGTTGACAAAGGGACTGTCCTTTTCAACGTAGGGTGTTTAAGGACATCC